AGTGCCCTTATTAAAGTCACAGCAGGGTTTTTACCCCACAAGCATTTTTTCTTAAAAAGATTGCTAGTTTTCCTGAAAATTAGCTCTCCTAAGCTAATTAAAATGGTGATAATTCCTAGTTTTTCTCTTTATGAACATGTTACTAAGGCATTTCCCCTTTAATATGACTTAGAAGTCTGGGTGTTCATCTATGCCAAAGCCTCAACAAAACACCTTCCCTAGAAAATACACACACAAACATACACACGGACTCAGGTATTCTCTGCTGCCATCATTGGGCTGCTATTCAGGAATTGTCATCTGTCACTGGTGAACCGAATTCTAATGGTTCCATCTGGTGGTACAAAACAGAACAGAACTCCGCCTGGCCTCTGTGATGTCTCAAATTCAACCTAATGTGAGCAACAGAAACTGTGCTCCTCACTCACTCTTACCGAAACAGCTGAAAGAAAGTTCTGGGGCGTATCCTTCCCACCCCACATCTTCCCCCGGCAGAATAGAAGCGCTTGGAGGCCAAGGACCGTTTTCTCTTTTTGTCCCTCTATCACCGTTGCCTAGCACTTAGGCACTGTGTGCCTTACACACACTAGGCAATCTCTAGATCCTGGTTAGACTGGCGTTCGACTGGAATTTTCTTCACAAGCCCTCTCTGCCAAGCATTTTGAGCCTGCCTCGGACTGTACCCAGTATACAATCATTCTAACCCAGGCCTCAGATTAAAGCAGCACCTTTCTCTATTTGAAGGAGGACATAAATCCTGACCTTCATCAAGGCAGAATTCATTTCTCTATTCTTAACCAAAAACTTTTAGTTGATTTTAATTTTTATTTCTCTAGCAAAGAAAGGAAAGAGAGCCAGGCTGGCTCCAGGCACTAGAGCAGATACAACTGGGAAAACCTCTTTGTTATTGATGGTCCATAGCAACCTCGATCAAACTTCATTATGTCAGCAGCAAAAGAAAGGTGTACATCTTGTTATGCTGTCATTGATCTATTACCCAAAACAGCAGACATCTGGTCTGTGGGCAGAAGGTCTTGAGTTGGAAGGGATCTTGGAGATGCTAGACTGGAGATCCTAGGGAAGCCTGTCCTGAGGGAGGTGACTTGAACAAGGTCATGCCATTAATAAGAGGCAGAGAGATAAGATCTGAACTCGGATCCTCCAATTCCAAGTCTAGTTCTATCTCCCTGCCTCCCAATCGGGAGCTGTTGTTGTAACACACACCTTCTTCATTCCCACACATTTTTATAATGGGTTACACAAGTCTACAATAGAAAGAGTCAGAGAACTTGGGTGTAAATCATATCTCTGCTACTTACTACAAGTGTGGCCTTGGGCAAGTCACTTAACCCCTTTGGGTCTCAGTTTCCCAAGGGGGTATGTAGATAGAACAGTGATCCAAAGAACCAGATCATGTTGAGGAAGCAAAAGCTTTGCTTGGGACTCTGTTTTCCCCAGGGAGGGTGTGGACACAGCCATTGATGTCCTCTGTTGAATGGACTGATGGATATCTACTGGGATATCCTTAGGACAGCATCTAAGGCTGAGTGATGGAGGTTCAGGGATTGGACACAACCAGGCTGACTCAGGCTCTTGTGGATGGGTAAGGGTTAGTTAGTCAACCCTTGGAACTGGTTTTTAGGGTCAGTTGCAGAGTGAATCCCATGAGAGAGGGCCGAGTGCAGAGCACAAACCTGAGTGCCAACTGCTGGGAGGAGGGGCCTGGGCACTTGCATGACCTCTCCCAGCTACTAATGGCTGCTTCAGGAGAGAGGTCAAGGCACACTACATTTGCACCAGGCTCTCACCCACTAGCTAAAAAGGAAAAGAGAGTTCTTGGCCCAGCTGTGGAGAGGCATGCCTGAAAGATGGCAGGAGACTGGGGGGGCCATTTAGTTGAGATGGGAGGTCCCAAACCCCAGCCCTCAGGAAGAAAACTTTCCCCCAAGAGATCCAAGACAGCTCACAGTTCTCCTATCCTTGTCTGTTCTCAGCTCTCCTTCTAAATGTCTCCAAAAGTGCAAACAGTGAACTCTACAAGTGATGCCCTTTTCTATCAGTCTAGCACAAAGAGGCAGACCCAATCCACAATGGGCCAGGCTAAGGACATCATTCCTAGTCACTGAGACTCCATCACTCCTCCCCTAGGGCAATGAGAAACCAAAAACCAAAAACACATAGCATCATAGGAACATGGGGTGGGGATGGTGGGGGGGGGGGAGGAGCAGGCTTCCTTACACAATATGCTCTAGGTCCAAAACAAGCCAATTCCCCCTTTCATCAAGAGAAACTGATCCTCCAAATCCCATCTCTCAACTTTGCCTTTCTATGGAGCCTCCAAATGACTCACATCCTAAAGGAAGAGGCTTCTGGGCACAAGCCAAAATAATTCTAACGAAGGTGAGTGTCACCATAAACCTAGAGGAACTGGGTTTGGACTGCCCCAGCATCAGAGTAAGGTATTTCCACCTCCACTGGGTAGCTGTCACCCCATCCTCTTCTCTTGCCAGCACACACACACACACACATGCACATTGAACATATAATACACGTACCACACAATACATTTCATGCAGATGCACACATGTGTATACACACCACACAAACACACAACAGTACACACATATACCACAGACACATGCACGCATTGCACACATATATATGCCACATACTACACACAACACATACATGCACACATGTGCACAAATATACATGTGCCCACATAGACACATATAAACATACTCCCATACCTGCGCAATGAATACATGCCATGCACATATATACATTGCGTGGTGAGTACACATACATGAACACACATGTGCACATATGTACATATATACACACATACCCCTACCTCAGTAGCTAACACCTCAGGAATGGAGCAATGCTCACGGGGACAGGAATCTCCTCTCCTTGCTCCTCCCCTCCAAGTTGGCAGTTTCAGGAGCACCATCTGGGAAAGTGAGGCACTTAGCCTAGACATCCCCTATCTGCCTGCTGAAGAAAATCCTTCTGCCTGAAGACAAGGAACCGATATTTACTCTGCTAAAGAAATGAATCTAGCTTTGGTGGAGGAAGAATATTAAGGGCTAGTCCTTTATGAGGGCTCTAGTTTTTAGAAGTAAAAGCTGAGAAGAGTGGTCCCATGCTAGTGTGAGGGCCAAAGTGGCTGGGGAAGCATACCAGAGAGGGCACTGCACACAGAGCTAGGCACACAACTCCTGGAGGAGCAGAAACAGACTGAGGCCTGAATTGGGATTCATAAGGCCTAGGTTGGGATCCTCATTCTGCTACCTGCTAGCTGTGTGACCTTTAGAAGCTGTCATAGAACGTAACCAATATATTCAGGCACTGGTCCATAGGCCCCGAAGGACTTCTCTCCTTGAAGGAGGGTTCGAGTCCTGACTTTCAGGAAGGTATAGTTCAAATGTCCTCCTGTAACCTTTAGCTGACTTTATTTATCTCTGGCAAAGAAGAGAAAGCCGGGTTGGCTCCAGGTCTCTGGGCCTCAATCATACCCTATGTAAAATTACATGGTTGTACTAGGTGCACCTTTTGGTTTTTCATTTTGAAATGTCTCCCTTTGTTTCTGTTTCACAGTACAATGAAGAAAGCATCTTTTAAATTTTAAAGCATTTTAGAAATGGAAGTTGTTATTGTTATTTTAATTATTATATTGGAATGGTAGCATGGATGGAAAGCTAGCCTTAAAATCCAGGAAGACCTGGCTTCATGTCCCACCTCTGACAGATCCAGGCTTTGTGACCCTGGGCAAGTCACTTAACCTCTCTGTGCCTCAGTTTCCTCATTTGTAAAATGGAGATAATAATAGCCATTACTTTCCAGGGTTGCTGTACAGATTAAATAAGATATTAATTATAAAGCACTTAGCACAGTACCTGGCATATAAGTACTATATAAATGTTTTTAGCTATTATATTATTATGATTATGATTATGATTATTCCTATGAAGGACAGACCACCATTCTAACTATGGTTTGATTTCCTTCTTTTTTCATGATTCTGTTGGGTTCAGATATGAAGCTATTGTATGAGAATCTTTGAGTTTCATAGACTATTGGAGCTGTGAAGGGAGGTACAGTAGAAAGAACCCGAGCTTTGCAATCAGGGGTGCAGGGTTCAAATTCTGTCTCTGCTTCTTATAACAGGATTGACCTTGGACTTGGCTTCTCTGGGCCTAGTTTCCCCCTCTGGAAAATGTGAGCTAAATAAATGTTAAATGATACAAAAGTGTTGGGGTGGGGGGGAAGGGGGTAGAGAAGAGAAACAATCTCTCTACTCCATAAGAAAGCATGGCCTTTAAGGTCCCTTTCAGCTCTATATAAATGATCCTACGGCCTGAGAAGTCATTGAGGAAACAATCAAGGCCTAAGGAAGGGAAGGGCCTTGCTCAGTGTCTCACAGGAAGTCAGTGGGAAACGTGGAATTCAGACCCAGGTTTTCAGCCTCTCACCCCGATGGTCTTCCCTTCTGGCTGTCACATTTAGTAAAGTGACCCATCATTTTTGCAAGCCTGCTTTCCTGGTGCTGAGAGCTTCTAAGTATATTGACCACTTCTCACTGTCCTTTCCAGTTCAAGGTCAGTAACAGCTCCAGGCCAGGCCAGAACAGGACAAACAATATTAACTAACATATGCAGCACAGTTCCAATAAGAACATTATTGGCATTGTATCCAAAAAACTGTTATACAACATGTTCATGATAAGCTTTCTCCTAGGTTACTTGACTCCAATCGTTATCCAACTGAACCACATTGTTGGATAGAATAAGAATTCCTCTGCTTATTTGCATTTTCTCCTCATGGCAGGTTCTTAAATATTATTAATTTGTAGCAAGCATGGGCCAAGAGGAGGTGGGTATGCCCCTCCTTCCCTCACATGCCAAGGCCTCCCCAGGGTGCACACACAAAGGGACAACAGTTTCCATAAAAGAGGGAACATTTGGGCCACAGGAAACAGAGACAGAGAGAGACGCCACACAGACCTGAAAACGGCCAGCAGTTCAGGGGAGTCAGCATGAGACGCACAACACGCGTGCAGGGAGAGATACCTCTGCTCCGTGTGCACAGCCCCAGGGGAGACGGAGCTGGTGGAGACACAGAACCACATGTAGACTCAGAGGAAGTAGGGGGCCAGAAGAAATGGAGATGCCAAGGCTCACTTGGACCTGGAGAGAGGCCTGAGCTGAAGGCCCCTGCATCCATGTGGCCCCTGAGGGAAAGAACTGACAGGAGCTGGCAGTGGACAGAGAGAGCAGCTGCCCCTGGCGCTGGAGACAGGCCTGAGCTGAAGGCCCCTACATCCATGTGGCCCCTGAGGGAAAGAGCTGACAAGAGCTGGCAGTGGACAGAGAGAGCAGCTGCCCCTGGCGCTGGAGACAGGCCTGGCTTAAAGGGGGCTGCATCCATGTGGTCCCTGGAAAGAAGTGGCCAGCGCCAGACGAGGATGCTGAACCAGCAGCAGAGTGACCAGATGCTGCAAGGTGAAGGAAAATCGATGCAGCACGGAATGGCAGAACCGAGTGGTGATGAGGCAGCGAGCAATGCTGGGGAGCCATACGGCTCAGCCCTGCCCTTTACCGGTCATGGGGCCAGTGGGGCTCCGGGAGATGAAGGTGAACAGTCATCTCCCTAGCAAGCCCAAGCTGAACAGGGCAGTACCCAAAGGGCTAGAGCCCCCAAGCTCCATAGGGTAGTAATGAAAAAGTAGAGTAGTACCATAAGACAGGATTGTACCCTGGGGGAAGGTGGGGGAAAGTTTTCCTGGCTGTCTATGAGTTAAGGTACAAATCCTTTCTATCCTTTTATTGTATAAATAAAACCTTTTCTGTCTTTAATGCTTTGTTAGACTAGATGCTTGCAGGGAAACTAAGGGCCTCTTGTTGGGGGGGGGGTGCAAAATCAGTCAAATACTGAAGTTCCTAGGGTTACCCTGGATGTGGGCATGAGTCAAGGGGTTTTTAAAACAAGGCAGATACTGAATTTCCAAAAGTTTCCCTGAGTAAGGACACAAGATTTTGAGAGGGATAATCCCAAAGTTGTACCCAAGTCCTTGTGGAGGATGGGAGGGGGGAGGGAGGAGGGGATTTGGGGGAGGGGAGAAGGGAGGGAGGAAGGGAGGAAGGACAGGGGAGGGGGAGGGGAGAAGGGAGGGAGGACTGGAGGAAGCATAGAGGAGGGGGAGGAGAGAAGGGAGGGGAGGGATACTCTAACTCCAGAGTTACAATTTACTTGCAAAGATAATTTTTATGATGATAATTCTCAAAATATTACCTATTAAAGTAAATGTTGCAAATATTGTAATTATATGCTAAAACTTGGCAAATATAGATTCTGTTATGAGTTCTTTCTGTTGGGCACTCTAGTCCTACTTTGTATCTCATCACGGTGTAGCACGGAGGTATAGCACAGACTCGTTACAGGACTGCCAAGGCACCTGAGGACAGGACTGTTTTGCTGGTTTCCAACAACCAGCCTGGCTCCCCATGAGCTGGGCCACAAGAACTCCAAGGGACATCTACGCAAGTCATCAAAGAGCTGAGGGCAGTATCCACACACCATCGAAATGCCAGAGACCCTAGTGGAGAAGTGTAAAAGAAGGTCTCCATGCATCCTCCAAGCACTAGTCAATTGTAAAGAGAATTTCTATTGACCTTTTGGGTGGTCTTTGCATTTTACCGCATTGCTCATATATGCCACGTGCCATGCCTTTCCCACTGGTACAATTCTTCCTACTAGGAATGCCCCATCATTCCCCTCTTCCTTACCAATGCAAACTTGGGTAACCCTTTTTGTAAGACTGAGCTCAAGATCTGTGTGTGTGCATCCTCACCAGAGGCCTCCCTAACTAACTCTACCTAACCCCAACCTTTTTCTCTTCTGTTGATCTCTACTTTAGTTTTGTAGATTTGGGAATGGACATCAAATGTACATCTGACAGAAAAAAGAAGAGGGGAAACAGTGGCTGGGCTGTGCTAATATAATAAAAATGGATGCTGCTACCAAAAACCACTTGCCTATTTATTGTTGCATCAGTCAAACTGCCAAGGGGTCATTTTTTTAAATAAAATTAGATAAAATAATAACAAGATTCATCTGAAGAACCCAAAGGTCACAAATTGAAAGGGAAGTCAGGAGTAGTGGTACATGCCTTTAATTCCTGCTACTAGGGAGGTCAAGGCTGGGGGACTGTTTGAGTTTAGAAATTCTGAGCTGCGGTGGCCTAAGTCAATTGGGTAAGCTTCCAGGAGTGGGGACCACCAGGCTCCCTAAGGAGGGGCACACTAGCTCAGGTTGGAAATGGAACAAGTCAAAGCTTCCATGGCAGTCACCAGTGGGACTGGGCCCAGGACATAGTCTCTGCACTTCTAGCATGGGAGAGATGGGGAGACTTAGTCTCTACTTTTTACTACTACTACTACTACTACTACTACTACTACTACTACTACTACTACTACTACTACTAATAATAATAATAATAATAATAATAATAATAATGAAATAATGGGAAAAGTAAGAATAAAGGGAGGCTGGTATTATCATAACCTAAGTAACACTCTTAAGCAGTATTCATCCAAACTATTTGGTACTGATTTGAAAAACAGAAAAGCTGATTAATGGAAGAGACTTAGTAAAGTAAAACTCAGAAGCAATTGAATTTCATAGCCAGTGTTCAATAAACCCAAAGAATTCTTTATTCAACCAAAAGTGCTGGGGAAACTGGAAAGCAATTTGGCAGAAATTAGATTCAGGCCACAAAAATATCCCAATAAAGTACAAATAGATACATGACCAGAATAATAAAGGTCATAGTATGAAAAATTAGAGAATGAAAGGAATGACATTGGTTAAGAATGAAATGAGGGACAGCTAGGACTAGGGAAAGACTCGCTGCAGGAAACAGAGGTGATAAAAGAAGATAAAACAGACCCTTTCAATTACAAAGAATTTTAAAGTTTTCCTACAAAGAAAATCAATATAATTGGAAGAAAAACAGTTAATTAGGAAAAATCTTTGTAGCAAAGATCTCTGATAAAGTTCTGATACCTAAGACATACAGGGAATTGACAGAAACATATAAGAATAGAAGTCATTCCTTAAAGCTAAATGGTCAAAGATTCTAAGAGGGAGCTTTCCAGAAGCCAAAATGCAAATTAGCCACAACCACATGTAATCACTAATACTAAGCAACTTGCAAATTAAAATAATTCTGAGATTTCACCTCATGCTCACTAGATTGGCAGAGATGCCAAAGTACAGAAAATAAGAACTAATAGAGGAAGTATGAAAAGAGACCTACTGACAGTTAGCCTGCTGGTGGAATCAGCTGATCCAATAATTCTGGAAGACAACTTGGAATTATACTAAAGCCATTAAACTGAACATACCCTTTGACCTTGCAAACCTACTATTCTCTAAGGTAGGGCACACAGGAATACACCTCAAGGAGACTAAAATACCATACACACAGAAACATTTAGAGCAGCACTTTTTGTGGTGACAAAGACCTGGAAGGAAAGTGGGTACCTGGTGATCAGTGAAAGACTGGGCAAATTGTGAGTGCAATGGGATATTAATGGATCAGAAGAAATGATGAACATGAAGACCTGTACGAACTGATACAGAGAAAAGAAGTGGAGTCAAGAGACCAATCGACATGACCACTGCAGTGATGTAAAGGAAAACAACAGCTAGACACTTAAAAAATTAATGTTGCCAGTCAAAATAGTTTGCATATTTATTGTTATTCCAATCAAACTTCTAAGGGGTTATCGAGAACTATCAAGAAGTGAGTACTGGCCCTGGAATCAGGAGGACCTGAGTTCAAATCCGGCCTCAGACACATAAAACTCACTAGCTATGTGACTCTGGGCAAATCACTTAACCCTGATTGCCTCATTTAAAAAAAAAAAAGAAAAGAAAAGAAGTATGAAGAAGTGACTCCAGAAGACCTGCTTGTGAAGCCCACTTGCCTTCCTCCTCTCAGGTCAAGGGCAGAGGGGTGATGGTTCCAAGTTCACACAAGGCCAGAGTGTCATTTTGTTTTGTCTGTCTGCACTTATTGGTGAGAAGGCAGGGTTCTATTTGGGGGAGGGGATGAAGGAAGGGAGTCACTGGGAAGTGATCTTTGCATAAGAAAAAGAAAAGGACAACCTCAGAGAGGGAGGTAGGCCTGACGCGTATCATGAGTTAGGGCCAACAGATGGCCAGCCTGAGTGCTACACTGGTATCTGTGAAATATTCAGTGACCCAGAAAATGGTCTCCCGAATCCAAATCCTCTCTCTCCAGGGACTTTCAGGAAAAGTCCCACTTGGGCATCAGTGCATTAGCATCTTGTGGTCACAGCTCTGATTGCGGATAGCCACGCTCTCCCTAGAAGACTTGGGCGGGGGAATCAAGCTCTCGGTGTCTTTCAGAAGACTCCTCCCTACCTCCGTGACAGCTCTCTCCCAGTCACTTCTGGAAAGGCTGTGGCGTAGGCTCCTGTGTCTTCGGATGAGAATTTCTTTGGCCTCTTCGGCTGCCCCTGTTTCTCCTGGAAGAGTATGCCTGTTATATGCAGGAGCCTGGAAACACAGCCCAACACAAAGTAGACAGAATGAAGTCCCAATGAAATCAGTGTCAAGAAAGCGACTCAGGGTTCTGAGCATATGTAATTTAAATTGGCTTAAATTTGGAATTCTTTTAGATTATATGCACTTCACAGGGAAGGTAAACCAAAAAAGAAAAAAAGGTAGTTAACCCATCTCACCCATACATATTCATGCCCTCTTAAAATGTCCCTCATCCTTAAACTTAAAAAAAAAATCTTACATCACATTTATTCACAATTTCCTCAGAAAAATAAACTCTTCTAAGAATATTAAAATGAGAAGAAAAAAGATTCTGCCTTTAAAAGAACTACATTCTCTTGCCATCTGTCTCTAGTCTCCTCTCTCCATGGCTCCTGGCCTAAAGGGCCAGACTCAGTCACCACCTAAGCCGAGCCTCAGGCCAATCCCCTGAAGTTGCCAGGACGGCACTCCCCAGGCAGGGAGGCTCACCCGTGACTAAGAACTCAGGCAGGCCTGGCAGGCGATCTCCTATACGCTGCTAGCACAGCAAGCCAAAGCCAGGGCCTCGGCCAGGACCTCTCTGCTCTACTTTGCTATGGCTCTAGGCTCCACTCTGGAAGCTGATGAAGCACAGGGGTGTGTGGGTAAATATTTAACAACCAGATCTGCGGTGTGGGGACTGGAGGGGAATGTATGCATGACACACTTATAAGTTTAATCTACGTTAACAGTTTCTCCCTCACTTTCTTAAGTCTTAGACAATCACTGAAACAATCCACCAAGCCCTGATTTGTAGTGTTTGCTGATTTCTGAGTTTTAAAGGCTCACACTGAAAATATAACAATTAGTTTTTGCAATTCTATTTGAAATAACTCCAGCACCACCCTGAGAATATAAGGGCTAGAAGATGTCTGCAGGGTTCACATACAGGGCCCCAGACTGTGCCTTTGGGCTGATTTTTTGGTCATCTTATTTCGTATGGGTCTGGTACGTGGTAAGCGCTTAATAAATGTTTTATCTATCTTAAGAATCTTTAAGAATAAAGACTCTAGGGGCAGCTAGGTGGCGCAGTGAATAGAGCACCTGCCCTAGAGTCAGGAGGACCTGAGTTCAAATCCGGCCTCAGACACATAACACTAGCTGTGTGACCCTGGGCAAGTCACTTAACCCCAACTGTTTCACCAAAAAAAAAAAGAATAAAGACTCTACTACCCCCCTCACAAGGTCACCCATTCCCAGGTTCTATTTCAGAAATTCCTCCTCATATCCAAGCAAAACTGCATCATGCTAGATCTCGTTGGGGCTTTCAGAGCCAGACAAAATGCCTGCTTGATGGCCTCCTTATAAATCCTTTCTTGAAAATAATAATTAATTTACTCCTTATCTTCTCCAACTACAATTCTTCTGGTTGACCCTGGTACTCTTTTCAAGGTCTTTATTGATATCCATACATCTGTCCATCTGCCCATCCATCCTTTATCCATCTGCCCATCTGTCTATCTGTCCATCCATCCTTTATCCATCTGTCCATCTGTCCACCCATCCTTTATCCATCTGCCCGTCCACCCATCTGCACATCTGTCCATATGCATGTCTCTCTCTCCTCTGCTCCTTCCCCAACCCCGCCCCAGTTTCTCTACATCTTTTTTATGACGTTTGGTGGCCACGATTAGGTCCAATGCTCTCCTATGGTCTGACAATTGCAGAGTATAGTGAAAAGATTATTTCACAGCCCTTCCATATAATAATTGCCCAAACTAATAATTAATGATAATAACTCCCATTTCTATAGAACTTGAAGGTTTACAAAGCAATAACCCTGGGCAAGCATCACTAGCCCCATTTTACAGATGACAAACTTTCACCTCTGTCCTCGGGTCTTCAAGTCTAGTGTCCTTTCAACCACAACACACTATGTCCCAACATACCCCAACATAGGGAGGAATATCTTACAGATAAGCAATTTTAGGGATAACAATATGGAATGATTCCAAGTTAGGAAAGGAACTGAAATCACATGTAAATTGGCAGAATTATAATTATGTCTTTTATTGGCAGTCTAATTACTGGATTTTTATCCTCTCTTTCCTCCCGTGGGTTCCAAGTGCTTTCTATATCTATTGAATTCTATTTTCTGCATCACTCCACCATCTAATATCTTCTTAAACAGAATATTATCAATATCTCACAAGACCCCAGAATCTTAGAAAAGGAAGGGCAGCCATCAGGCTAGTTCAGCAACTGAGTACCAGACCAAGACCACCAGTGGGGCTACTCAGCCTCACAAAATCCACGTGAAATGTGCCAGAACAGAGATGGGTTCACTCCATTTGTAGAACTACTATAGCATTACTTGAGCTAAAAAGAATCCTTACCCCTCTCCTGATTTTATATAAGTTGGTAGCCAATATCTGCTGTATATTATCCACGAGGTCTTGATCCAGAGGGGTTGGAACTGTGGCTGCTGTGGCTGGTTCACAACTGTGGCTGCAAAGAAAACAACTAGGTTGTTAATGGGAATCAAATACAAAAAGGCATTGAAGTTGAAGGTATGAAAACAACTCGCATTCAAGCTATTGAGGCATCAAAAGACAAAAAGGTAAACAAAATAAAAGTGTCAAGGGAAAGATCAGGACTGCACTTGAATGATTCTTGGTGGGCCTCAACAAGAGGTAGCTAAGCCCAAATGTTAATATGTGAATGTTTCAAGGGACACGTCTAGTACTGGGCTCTAAGAACTTCAGTATTCCTTCCACTGAACAGGAAAGGAGTTGGAGAGTCCCAACGATGGGTTCTGAAAAGCCACTGGATTGGAGAATCACCTTTTTCAAAGTGATTCTTCTTTGTAATCATGTGGGGACAATGAGAAATCCAGTTAAGCAAGGCACTGAAACAAGGCATGAAAGCTGGGCATTTCAAATGGCTTGTGGGAGTTTTCCTAGCTGTGTTACCAGCTTCCATCTGACAGTAAATGTTTATGGCCTTCCCATCTTTAGTGTTTCTTTTCCAGTTCAAATTCTTAGAGGTGGAGAACTCAATGAAGAGATAATGACTGATGGGTTCGGAATGTCTCTGGGCCTAATTCTACTGCCAGTTTTATGCAGCTAATGCAAAATGGAGGCTTAAGCTGTCATCTGGCTATTTCAGGCAATGCAGACAGTTGGTCTATGAATTTCAAATAAAACCATTTCCTACTTAGGTCCTGAATTATCCAGATTAACTATCTATATCTGCCCACATCCCCAGATTATTATTCAGTCCTCCATTTTGCATTAGCAAAAAGGTCAATGCCCTGGGTCTCCCCCTACCCCAAATAATCAGGCCCAAGGAATCATATCCCTCCACTGTGCACCCACCTCTGTCTCATTCCAACTAGTCCACCCCACCCTGAATTCACAAAGAATAGAAATGAGCTGGCAAGTTCCTCAGAAGGCCATCTGGACAAGCCAGCCCCCTTTATGAAGGCACAGGAAGGAAACCTGAGCCATCTAGGACAGCTGAATCCTGCATAGGTCTGGCCTAACTTAAAAGCTCTCCAGAAGAAAAGATCCCACTGTATTCCTTGATATCCTGTTTCAACACTGAATTGACAAACTCTCTTTTTGGCTAACTGTATGGTCTAATTTTTGGTAAGGAAAGCTAACTGATGAGCATTCTGCTCCCAGCTCTCCTGGAAGATACAGAGGAAACCTGGAGTTCTAGGCAGGTTACTGAAGCTGGAGTTGGGAAGAAGCAAGTTCCAAGGCCACCTCTGATACTTGCTGGCTATGTGACCTTGGACAAGTCACTTAGTTCTGCAGGCCTCTCATAATTCCACAGGGCTAGTCTTCTAAGTCATGGAGGGTTGGGAACTGTATTAGCAGAGGAGAATTTTCCCCCCACTGATGAATCAAAAGATCTTTCCCATGTACTTGAAGATAATTGGTCAGTTCCCCTAAGGGGAATTCTTCTCTTTTCTTCTCCAAGGTAAACAGCATCATTTGCTCTAACTTTCTCCTGAAGGATCTCACTCACCCCTTTAATCATTGTTGCAATCACTCTTCTCCAGAACATCTCTGGTTTCTTTACTTCTGGACCCATTCCTCCCTCCAGGTTCTCTGATCAAAATCAGGTCAGGATGACCTAGCCACCAGTCAGGCCAGTATCAGAGTCACTTTTTAAATAGTAGTGTTCCATGAGTAACTCTCCTCAAACTTGGGGCCTGCCACTGCTGTTTTGATCTTGGACATGAGTCATTTGTATTTGGGGCCCTGGGTCAAGCCAACCATGGCCACAACTTTAAGTCAGACTCTTCAAGCCTCAATATGCATATTGCATATGTGTATTCATGACAGGTGCTGACTGGCTGACTGAATGGGATGGGCCCAGCCATCACTGCTGTCTGGTGGATCTAAAATGGTATCAGTGTAGACACACTCACCCTACCAATGCAGACTGACCAACTTCATGACGAGCCTCTCTGACTTAGCCCGAATTCATTCATTCATTCATTCATTCATTCAAAGCCATTCCAGCTCGGTAGGATGGAGCTTTTGAGGAGGACTTTAATGGACGCATAACAGGCTAACTGCAAGCCCCCAAAGTCTTCTCCAACACTAACAAAAATTCCTTAAAAATTTTACCAAGAGGGGAAAAAAAAACCTCATGGCACTCGGAGAATTACCACATTCCCATATTAATGCACATTTAATGTGAATTGCTCTATAGAAGAATTCTTTGCTTTTTCTTCTTTCTCTCTCCCCCACTACCATTATTTTCCTTTTTCAAATTCTCTCTCCCTTAACAGTCATCCAGAAAAAAGAGCAAGGAAACCCTTGGCACATCCATTATTTCTGTCTCCCTCCCTTGCAAAAAAAAATCCTATAAAGTTCTATTCATGCCTCATTCAAGAGAAGCAAAAGGTAACTTCATTTTTATTTTCATTTTTAAAAAGTAAATTTGAACACTCAGAGTGTTTTTCCTAGGAGACGGATGTTTCAAAGAATCTTCCAGTGGCTTTTTCACGTAGCTAACCACCTCATAGCCAGCCTCCCCACTTTTAGATGGACCAGGCCCTCCATGCTCAGCAATGCAGCTGTGAAGGCCTGGGGTGAGAGAGAAGAGAAGCACAGTTCCCAAGAGAAAACTTTCAACACTTTCTTTTAGTGACTGTAGCTGTTTCCATTCTCCCAAGGGCTAGAAGGCTGGGCAGGTAGTACCTGCAAGAGAACATCATGGGTCTTGAAAAATACTTACCACTCAGGTGTACTGGCTGGAGCATGGACCAGCTGACCAGCTTCTACCAGCTCAATGGCATGTTTCCTCTCCAGCTTTTCATACAGGAGCACAATGCTAGACTTGGGCTTGTCATAATCCCGCAGCAAAATCTTCTGCAGATATTGGCTATTGAAATATTCCAATCTGCTCAGGCAACAAAGAAAAAAAATGCCAAGAATTCACTGGCCTCTCTCCTCAGAAAAGTCAAGTCAGTCCCCGAACATTTGTGAAGACCTACTATATGCAAGGCAGTGAGGGCACAAAGGCAAAAGGAGGCACAGGCTCTGCTCTCAAAAACCTTCCAAGCTAACATGGGTTCAAGTACCACCTCTGCCACTTACTAACTAGCTGCATGACTGTGGCCAAGTCACCGAACGTCCTCTGGCCTCAGGTCCTCATCTGTGAAGACTGATCTTAATGCGGTGACACACCAGTGACACAAATGAGTAAGAGACTGGGTAGGAGGTAGCCACAGAAAAGGATCATGGGATCGAGAGCTAAATGGGCCTCAAAGGACATCAAGTCCAACTCTTTCATTTCTGAGATGAAGTAATACAGGAGACAGGTAAAGTGACTTGCCCAGAATCACAAAGCTGGGATTCAAACATCAGATCCTCTCATTTCAAATTCAATGCCTCTCTCTACAGCACTCTGTGGCTATTTCTTACCTCACTACTACCACCGAGCTTTGTACAAGCCCTAATTGCCACCCCGCCCTGGGCTACTGTAATTCCCTGCCAAGAAGACTTCAAGCCTCCATTCTCTTCCCCCTTCAAAATGTCTTTCAGACTGGCGTGAGAATATTTTTTTCTTACGTATAGATCTAGTTCAGTTATTCCTGTGCTCAAAAATCTTTGGTAACTCCCTATCACTTCTGGAGGAAAGGTCAAACCCCCTCTGCCTGGCATTCAAGGCCTTCTACAATCTGACACTACCCTCCCCTTCTAGTCTCTTCCACACTCTCCACCCCTAGTCAAAAGGTGCCTCCTCCATGAAGCCTTCTCTGATCCTCTAGTGTGCACCTCTTTCCTGCACTTGCCACACGTCACTGTGTGTTGGGGTTATCCCTATTGGTGCCTTATCATCCTGCTAGACTACGAACTCCATGATGCTTAGAACTGTAATGTTTGTGGAATAAAAAGCAAAACAGAAAAGATGTGAAGGATGGGAACCTTGTAAGCCAGGTCCAAATAGTGAAATTGTCTTGAAATGTTCTAATTGGGTTAATCAAGCTTCTTAAGTACATACCTGAAAATTAAGCTGAAGTCCTAATTTTTTTAGAAATAAATCTGAGTTTGATTTCGAACATTGAAGGACATTGGCCCATCTTAAAAGAGGCTTGGTATTGAGGTAGGAATAGAGAAAGAAAGAAGGAAGCATTAATTAAGCACCTACAATGTCCCCGGCACTATGCTAAGTGCTTTACAAGCATTATTTCATTGATCTTCACAGCAAACCAGGGAGGTGCTATTATTACCCCCATTTTACAGTTGAGGAAACAGAGGCAAATAGCAGTTTGGTGACTTTCCCAGTGTCACACAGAGTGTACATGTGTTAGCTCAGATTTGAACTCAGGTGTTCTTGACTCCAACCCCACTATTCTATCCACTAAGCTACCTAGCTGCCTCAAGGAAAGGAGGAAAGGGTTCAATAGATACTGTGGAAGTAGAATGCCTATTCCTTAGATATAAGAGGTGAAGTATCTTGGCCAATAAACTCAAGAAATAATCCTCACACCCAGGAACTGAATGTAGCCTAAATACCCTTTGCATTTCAGAACAGGCCATAAAAAGCAGTGGGGGTAGGGTGGGAACATGACCTTAGAAAGCCATTGGATTTTGAAAACGTCAATGGTCCACTAACTCCAACCCTAAGAACAGAATCCCTTCTGCCCATTGCTTCGGTGTGAGAACATGATGGAGAAAAGAAGTGGCCCAACTCTGTCACTGAACTCAGGTTTGTGAATCTATACTGTGACCTGTGGTATTTTCTGACACTTCACATCTCCTGGCCAATTGAGATATATATCCTAAAAGACTCAAAGGCTTATTAGTCCTCTTTCTGCCAGCTCAGCTGGCTATGTAAAGTCATAAAGAAATAGGTCAGAAGTAGCCTGTCCTACAAGGCACACTACCAACATCTCCCTGTTGGCTAGGCCACCATGACCCAGAAGCAGTGCACATTGGACCAGACTACCAGGGAGCCCAGAGTAGACCATAAATGAAGACAATACAGTAGGGCTTAGAATCCAGTGGAAAGGGTCAAAAAAGGACCCTTTAGGAGATATGAAGCCTCTCTCTAAGGCTTTCTGCAACATTCCCAGGAGAAAGGCCTTGTCTGGGAATTTGTGTGGCAGCCTGTTGGGATCTGGTAGCCCAATCTGATGACTTTCATACCTTCTGGGGTAAGGTTAAAAAAAAAAAAAACAAGAGAGATCACCATCTTTGTTTGAGATTGTCTATTACCTTCATAATACAGGAGAGGGATGAAGAAATAATCATAGGGGTCATCTTTTTTTCCCTTTCTACACATGTACACAGTTGCATTTCTAGCAGCTTCTTACTTGTCTTTCCAGTAATACTGTCCCCAGTGTCCAGATATGTCTTCAATGCCAGCCAGCAAGTGGTCCAAGAACTGAAAAAGAAGAGTCTGTCTATACACACAGCATGTAGGAGGAACTCAACTGGCAGCCAAGGAAAAGAAACTCTGCTTCAGAGGCATGAAAAAGCACAATTCTTTATATCATCACCACCACCACCACCATCATCACCACCATCACCACCACCACCATCATCACCACCATCACCACCACCATCATCATCACCACCACCACCATCATCATCACCACCATCACCACCATCATCATCATCACCACCACCATCACCACCACCACCACCATCATCACCACCATCACCACCACCACCATCATCACCACCATCACCACCACCATCATCATCACCACCACCATCATCACCACCACCACCACCACCATCACCACCACCATCACCACCATCATCATCACCACTACCACCACCACCACCATCACCACCACCACCATCACCACCATCATCATCACCACTACCACCACCATCATCCACCACCACCATCATCACCACCACCACCACCACCATCACCACCATCATCATCACCACTACCACCACCATCATCATCACCACCACCACCATCATCACCACCACCACCACCACCACCACCACCACCATCATCATCATCACCACCACCACCATCATCATCATCACCACCACCATCACCACCACCATCATCATCACCACCACCATCACCACCATCATCATCACCACTACCACCACCACCATCATCATCACCACCATCACCACCATCATCATCATCACCACTACCACCACCACCATCATCATCACCACCACCACCATCATCATCACCACCATCACCACCACCATCATCATCACCACCACCACCATCATCACCACCACCACCACCACCATCACCACCACCACCATCACCACCATCATCATCACCACTACCACCACCATCATCATCACCACTACCACCACCACCATCATCATCACCACCACCACCATCATCACCACCACCACCACCACCATCACCACCACCATCATCACCACCACCACCACCACCATCATCATCACCACCACCACCACCACCATCACCACCACCACCATCACCACCACCACCATCACCACCATCATCATCACCACTACCACCACCATCATCATCACCACTACCACCACCACCATCATCATCACCACCACCACCATCATCACCACCACCACCACCACCATCACCACCATCATCATCACCACCACCACCACCATCATCATCACCACCACCACCATCATCACCACCATCATCATCACCACCACCACCATCATCATCATCACCACCACCACCATCACCACCACCATCATCATCACCACCACCACCACCATCACCACCACCACCACCACCATCACCACCACCACCACCACCACCATCATCATCATCATCATGTTGTATCCCATCAAGTGAATGTGAGCTGCCTGAGAGCAGAGACTGTTTCATCCTTCATCTCTGTAGCCTCACGATATAGGCAAGGGAGCCCAACAGATAGAGAACTGGCCTGTGAGTCAGGCAGACCCGAGTTCAAGTGCCTGTTCTTCTGACACCTGCTGGTTGTGGGATGTGGCTGACCTCTCAGAACTCCTGGCAACTCTCTAACAAGGTAAGCTGCCAAATAGGGCCAATCTGTCCAGTGGAGGCAATGTCCTCTCTGGGAGGTGCCAACACCTGTGAAATCACAGGTTCGAACAAAACTGTCCATCCTGCCTTTTCTGAGCAGGCACGGCCCTCCTAATACCCTGTATTAGTCTCTTTATGTGCAAGATAAGACTTTCACTCCAGAAATGCATGTGTGTGCATGTGTGTATGCATGTGTCTACATGCATGTATGCATGTGTGTGCATGTCAAGGAGAAGCAGAGCAAGAGAATAAGCTTCAAAAGGCAGGCTTACTCGAGAATGCTTCTTAGGATCACAGGATCAAAGAATCATCAAAAAATGCTATAAGAAAAAGAAACCTCAGAGGTCATCTAGTCCAACACCTCATTTCAGAGATAAGGAAACTGAGGTCAATAGGGGTCGAGTGATTTGCCCGGCGTCCCTAGTAAGTGTCTGAGGCAGGATTTGAGCTTAGATCTTCCTGATTCTCTCCAGCACTCTAGCCACTGCCCCACCTAGCTTCCCAAAAGATAGCTGTGTCCAACATGAGACACAATCCACGACCTGGGATTAAGAATTTCATGCTCTCCCAACTGAGCTAGCCAGGCACCTTGAAAGAAATGAATGTGAAGCTTGATCTTGAAACAAGTAGTAACCACAAAAGAACAATGGTTCTGCAATAGATCTAGATTCAAACCCGTGCTCTGTTACTTACTACCCCTATGACTTGGGTGATTCACCTAACCTCACTGAGGTTCCTCATCTCTAAAATGGACTGGACTCTTAGATGGCCTCTCAGGTGTCCTTTGAGCTCTACACCTGTGGTTCTAAGGCATTCTACCCATAGGAAATGGTGGAAACAAAGGAGTATAGAATGAGAATGAGTGGGATACCTAGGGCAGCAACAAGATACTTAGCTAGAGCCCATGGATCATATGAAGGGTCAGGAGACAAAACATTGGATTGGCACGGGGGCAAGGGGTAGAAACCAGCTGATAGAAGGTCCTGAACACTAGTTGAAGAAGTTTAGATTTGGTCTTACGGGTAAATTCTTTCCTTTGGGTTATAGTAAAATGCTTCTTTGCCACAATGTTTTGTTCTAAAACTACCATTTTAGACTTACTGATGCTGAGTGAAGTGAGTAGAACCAGGAGAACGTTGTACACAATAACAGCACACTGTGTGATGACCAACTTTGATAGACTTAGCAATCTAAGACAATTCCAAAAGACTCATGATGGAAAATGGTATCTAAAACTACCATTTTCATTTGGGATTGGGAGAGGGTAACCTGGACCTGTGACTTCATTAGTCTAAGAAATTCCCAGGATGGAAGGTTTCTCCATAAATGCAGATTGGCAACTCATTTAAAATACTCTGACTCTTAGAGAGTTGCCTTAGGCTACTAGGAGGTTCATTGATTTGCCCATGACAGCTGGTGCCAGAGCCTGAACCTAAGCCAAATGGTCCTGGCTCCAAGGCCACACTCTTCCCACTAAGCCATACTGCTTCTCAAGACTGACATATGGCAATGTAATGGCAGAAATGACAAGGGGTCTCAGATGGACAAGGATACAGAAAAATTGGGGATGTTCAATTCTACTGTGCCTATGAATAAAGATGACTTTAGTTATACCTAGACATAAGATCAGGGCCACAGGCCAACAATTGGATTGTAACTTATCGATCAATTTATCAGCCAGCACTCACCAGGTGCTGTGCTAAGTGATAGCAATATGAAGCCAAAGGCAAGACAGTCGCTGCCCTTGAGGATCTCTGAGCTGGGCATCTTCATGACCAAAATAACAAATCACAATGGGCTTTCTTCTATGTGGAAGATGCCTCATCTTCCATCTGATCACTTCTAGCCAACGTTAAGTAATCAGCTGTCCTGACGTTGCTAGTTATGCTAGTTATACTAGCTATATTAGTGAAACTTAACACTCACATGTGTTGGAAATACTGTTACAGGTCTGAAAAGATGTCTGAGAAACCCAGAGGCTTCTGGAGTATTTGAAGAGGAGTCATAAGGCAAGCTTCACACTTTCCTGGGAATTTTTTCCCCTTCAAACCCCCAGGCTCTGTTTCAACAACCCAAGGAGGTCCTGAACTCATTCTTTACATTTGATCATGGATAACTTATCCCACATAGAAATCCGCATATCAAATCCAATTTCCTTGAGGAACTAAAGCTAAGCGCCATATATTGCCTGGCCTGAATATTCTCCGACACTTTCCTGGGTTCAAGAGCAGACATGAAGCACATGATATGACTCCGGAGTCTTTTGTTGTGGAGTAACTCGCTCAGACAGCATAGTTTGTAATCTTATTGCTTGAACCTTTCACTCTGGGGACACTATTAATAGTATGGAATAGCAGCTCCCACATTAAATAAAGTTTTCCAATTACACAAGGGTGAGACGGGTCAGCCAATAAGTGGATGATATTCCAGCCCAAACAAAGGAGTCAAGACTACCAAACTTCATTCTCAGCTCAGCATGGCTGCAATAAACCCCAATGTATGCAGTTTGGAAGGGAGGGGGTGGTTCTCCAAGTCTGCAGAGTACAAATGGAGCCTTGACCACAGCCACTCCTCCAGGGGCCCAAGGCTCATGGGTGCTTTTTCTAGGAGGAAAAACCCAAGCATAAAAAAAGCTTAAGTTGCATAAATCACTTACTCGGATATGAATCTGTTCACTCACAGTTGGAGAAGTTTCTCTTCCTCTGGTCACATCTAATAAGTCAACAAGAGGCCGGATGGTCATTCCCTGCAACATGACAACATTTTGGTAAAATGTGAGCTTGTCAAGGGGAGGAACTGTTTTGTGTGCACTAGGCCTCCCCTCCAGCAAGCCCACTGGCTTTGGCCTGTATCCAACATTCTGTACCCTGTCACTATGTCTTTGCACAGGCTTTGAACCCCTTGCCTAGATTACACTCCCCTCACCTCTGCCTCACTGGATCCCTACCTCCTTTCAGAGCTCAGCTCAAGTACCATGAAGTCTGTTCTGATCCCTCTCAAAGGGTAGTACCAGTCATCCTGATCTATATTTCACCACTGGACCCAGAGGGCTCCTGTGGAGAAAGTGAGGCTGGTGACTTTGCTCAGCCCTCCCTCACTTAAACCCAATTCACTTGCAAGTCATGGCATCACCTCGCTGATGTCATGGTCCTCTTTGAGAACAAAGGACAAACAATGACAACAACAATTATTAGCAACTTCTCCCCCAAATTATTTGGCATTTGTTTTACATATAATTTCTGCTTAGCTGTGCATGTATAGTTACCCCCCAGCAGAATCTAAAGGTCCCTGTGGGCAGGTGCTATATGGCATTTTCTCTGTACCCTCAGTACCTAATACAGTGCCTGGCATATGATATAAGCTGAATAAATGCTTCTTGTGTTGAACTGAATTGATTAGGCAATTAATACCCACTTGTCAAGTTACTGACTATACAAAAAGCCAAACATCTTTCACATGAATTGCCATTTTGAATCCCATACCTTTTTGTACTTTCTAGAGCAGCGTGCATGTGTGTGTGTGTGTGTGTGTGTGTGTGTGTGTGTGTGTGTGTTTTAGCTAGACCCTGAACAGAATGCTGGACACAATCATAAAATCCATAAGGATGGCATTTGGGGGATAGGGAGGGCACAAGTGAATACCATGATACCATGGAAAAGGGATGAGGTTTTCTTTCCCTCAGGTCAGGGGGACATGATGGCATGGTAAAATATGGGAAGTCAGAGAAACCCATGAAAACTTGGTAAATAGCACCTGCAATTTATAGGGCAAAAGAAAGTAGTGAGGAGTTCAGAACATCAAGAATCTTCTGTTGCTGTTCAGTCATTTTCAGTTGTGTCCAACTCTTCTTGACCCCTTTTGGAGTTTTCTTGGAGTGGTTTGCCATTTCTTTCTCCAGCTCATTGTACAGATGAGGAAACTGAGGCAAACAGGGTGAAGTGACTTGCCCAGGGTCACACAGCTAGTATGTGTTTGAGGCCAGATTTGAACTCAGGGAGATGAGTTTTCCTGACTCCAGGCCAGTCACTCTATCCACTGCACCACCTAGCTGCTCCCTAAGAGTCTTCTGCCCTAATTCAAATTCTACCAGGGACTTTAGCAGGCAGGTCATTTTGTCATTAGCTTCTTCTCTGCCATAGAAGGAATCCCACAGACCAGACACCATTGTTCGGTGGTGGGAGTCCAGCCCTGTGGTTAAAGGGAACTCTCAGTGTGGGAACTACTCCATCAAAGCAGATTAGTAGCTCCTCTGTAACCAAGGTCTTAGAGAATCACTGGGGACCCTGAGAGGCTGAGCAACCCCTCCAACCAGTATGTGTCAGATGCAAGGCTTGAGCGCAGACCTTCCCAACTACAAGGCCACATTCTCTCTACTCACCAGTTACTCCACTCTACCTCTCACCTGCAAACTTACCACTGTGGCAGGCTGTAAAGGAAGCTGCTATAAAAAATGAACTCTCTATTGTAACAATCGCCACACGTAGGCATTTCAGCTTAGCTCCATGGCCTAGTCTGGACGAATATCAACTGTAAGGGTGGGAATCAAATTTTCTCAAAACATAGAATGGCGTTATTATAAATGAAGACTTAGAATTTGTGCTGAAGTGGTCAATTTTCAAGGTGGGGGATGTTCTGAAGCATCTTTTCCTGAGATTCTTGTGGTAAAGTAGAAAAGCTAGCTATGAGTCTCTGGTCTCTAAACTGATTTTCTTATTCACTGACTTCCTAAGGACATAAGCCTGACTGTCCCTATGCAATGCTAATGAGACGGCAGCTGTCCAAAGCAGGACTAGTCAGTGGGCTGGGGACCCTGTGGGGTATAGTAGGAAAAGAGCTCAAGTTCCCATCAGAGGACCTGGGTTTCAACCTCAGCTCTGCCTCTGACTTCCCGCATGACCTTGGCCAAGTCACTTTGGCTGACTGGCCTCAGTTCCTCATCTGAGGTCTCTTCCAGCTCTAATTATTATTAACACCAACCAAGTAATCACCACCACTGATTGAAATCATGTGACTCAAAGAGAAAGGGCAATGACTATGGCATCAGAGGATCTGAGTTCAAATCTCACCTCTGATATTCAAATTTTCACTATTTAAAATTATAATTATGCAAAGTGCAGTAATTGGTTCCAGCCCAGTGGAAATTTGTACGTGAATTCAAATAATGTGGCCACTTCACTAGATTCCTGAATCGCACTAGTCTGGACTTAGCTGTACTTACTGTGTGACCTTGGGCAAGAGCCTTCTCTCCGGGCCTCAGTTTCCTCATCTGTAAAATTAAGGTGTTAAACTAGATGGCTTCTGGATTTCTTTGAGCTTAACATCTATGGTTCTATGATAGGTGAAAGGTTATCTAGCAAGACCTTGTCACATCTCAGGTTGCCTCATAACAATAACGAAAAAACCAGGGACCTCAGGAGAAGAAAATGTTAACATCCTTTCAAATGTGGAAAGAAGTGCTTTAAGAGCAGGGTCTCCATTAGAATGCTGGCTCTTGGAGAGCAGGGCCTATGTCAGGGCTTTGTATGCAATGTGTAAACAGAGACATGACCTTTGAGGAAAGTGGAGGGCAGGAACATCTGATAGTCCTAGAAGGCTTTTGGAAGGACGTGGGCCCTGAGCAGAGCCTTGAAGAGATATGAGGATTATTCCAAGAGGTGGAAATGAGAAGGGAGAATGTTGCAGTAATAAGGGACAGTGCATGGCACATACTAGGTACTTAATCCTAGAAAGAGTGGGTGGTATAAATGTTTGTTGAATTGAATTGAATGGAGCTCAAAGGCCCACAGTCTGGGCACTGAGAGGAATATGCCAAACCACTGCCAATGGGCAGCCAAGCTCTTCCTCCTCCTCCTCCTCATCACCAACAGGTGATTAAGCATCTACTATGTTTCAGGCATTGTGCTAAGCACTGGGCATACAAAGAAAGGCAAAAGACAGTTCCTGCTGTCAAGAAGCTCACAGTCTAATGGGAGACACAACATGCAGAATACTGTGTACAAACAAGCTAATTTCATAGGGAAGGGGTGAGGGAGGAAGGGGGAGGAATGAGGGCACTGGGAAAGACCCTGCAGAAGGTAGGCTTTAAGCTGAGTTTTGAAGGAAGCCAGGAGGTAGAGGCAAGGAATGACTGCATTCCAGCCATAGTGGATAGTCAGTGCAAAGGCAGAGTCTGTGCTAGGACCAACAAGCAGTCCACTGTCACCAGATCAGGTGGAGAGGAGTAAAGTATAAGACTGGAAAGACAGGAAGGGGACAGATTGTTAAAGGCTTTAATATGTAAACAGATGATTTTATATTTGATCCTGGAGGTAATAGGGAGCCACTGGAGTTTCTTGAGCAGAGGGGTAACATTGTCAGATTTGTGCTTTAGGAATATCACTTTGGTATCTGAGGAGAGGACAGACTGGAATGGGGAGAAATTGAGGCAAGGAGATCCACCAACAGGCTCCTGCTATCATAAGTGCACCCACCCCACTTTGTCCTCTTCATAGACCTCACAGACCTAGGAAGAAACCAGGGCTTGAGTGAGAAAGCAACAGGTAGGAGCTACCTAGCTGCTCCTTGGCTTTGTGGCACAGAGACTCCTGGGCTTGGAAATCAGGGGCCCTGGATGCATTCACCCACCACAGCATGCTGCTGGCCCCAAGAATCTCAATCACTTTGAGATTAAATCTTCAGTATTTGTAAATACTGAAGAATTAGTCAGAAGTATCAAGTCAAAATAGCCACAGAGTACTATGCCAGTGATTCTGAATAACTTGTAGGGGAAGGAGGAGAGGAACATTCTTTCAATTAAGAAACCCCACTAAAGTCATTTTGTCATTTGGAAAATTATTCTGTGTTCTTTTATTGTTGGAGCAATTGCTTGTTAACAAATATGAACATTGTGCATGGCTTGGGAGAGGGAAGGGTGCGAGGGCACAGCAAAATCTTCACCGAACAGAGGACATGAAATGTTGTCAGCAGAAGTGACAATTCTGCTCCCTTTGGCTCAGGTCTGCCTCGGCTGGCCTGGGGCACATGTACTTCTCCTTTTTACAAATTGGGAAACTGAGAACAATCCCTGGAGTGATCAGCTGTGATTCTTACAACACTCATTTGAGGTGCGACGTACAAGAATCACAGGCCCGTAGGCTGAGTTGGCAGGGCCCTAAAATTACCCAGTTCACGTTGTTCAAAGCCCTCATTTTATAGATGAGGAAACTGAGGCCCAGAGAGATAAAGTAACTTCCTCAAAGTCACAGAGGCATTAAGTGGCTGAGGCAGGATTTGAATCCAGATCCTCTAGCTCTAAACCAGGGGTCATGCTAATGTACCAATGCTGTCTCCCCATTTTTAGATGAGGAAACTAAGTCACAATTCCTGAATGATCAGTTAGCTTCACTGGCTTTCACGGGCACAGACTGTATCCCTAACCCCACTGTCATTATATATGAGGACATTTGTCAGAATGACAAAAGGGCAAACAGGAGGGTAATTACATCACCCTATAGAAAATATGGGGTCTGTGATATTATCAGTAATATTGTCAGACATGTGAACTCCCTCCATGCAGGCCAGATCATAAGCAGCCTAGGACTTAGGGAATACATCCTAGAGAATGGCCTGAGGAGAGGAGAGACGGCCCATGCTTAGGGGGCTGATGCCAAGCTTCCATGTGAACCCAGATCATCAGACAATCTGCACCCCGGCTCTCCTTCCTTCAAGCTCAACACTGGCTCCACTAGGGCACGTTTGGCACTATCCACCTTTCCTAAAGGAAACAATCGCTATGGGGCTTCCCTGCCGTGGCATTTCAATCTTGGGGAAAGCAACAAATCCTAGGAATACTTCAGCCACTAGATGGTGGTGGAATGACATTGCAGGTTCTCTCCCCCACGCCCGCCTTCAGCGGCTTCCAGCTCAACGTCAAGGCCAAAGAGAAGAAACCGAGACAAAAGATCCAGCGGTACAAGGTGAAGGACAGGGATGCCAATGCCTTTCAATGTTTTGGGGACCCAATTTCAAACAAAACAGCAGCTCTTATTGATGACAGGGGGCGGGGCTGAACCTGTAGGGCTGGCCCAGAGCAGCTTCTCCATGGATAACATATGGATGTGGTTAAAGTCACAAGTAGAGAGAAGTGGAGCACATGTAGGCCATTTCACAGGAAATGGAAATGAATTCTTGAAAATCACGTTGTATTTCAAACCAGTATTCTTCTGCTGAAAGCATCTATTAAAGTGAAAGCTGGGTAAAGCTTAGTTAAATCAAATGTGATTTTCTGAAGGCTTAATTAAAACTGATTTTTAAATGGCAAGAAAATAAATGTTGGAGCTTAACCAAAACCATTCACCAAAAATAAAAATGGGGGCTTTTCAGAGAAGATGAGTGCAGCTGGTAAGTGGCAGAGCCAGGTTGGGAGCCAGGTCTGCTGACTCGAAAATCCAAGTGAGCATTTACATAGTACATTACGGTCTGGAAAATACTTTGAAAACATGTCAACTCATTTGACCCTCACAACAACCCTAGAAGGTGGGTGCTAACATTATCTCCATTTTACAGATGAAGAAACTGAGGCTGACAGAGATTGCCCAGGGCCACACAACTAGCAGGCGTCTAAGACAGGCTTCAGACTCAGGTCTTCCTGACTCCAAGGTTAGCACTGCAGCCCTCGTGCCATCTAAACATCCCCAAACAAATCCTCGTCTCACTGCACTCGGTGGCCACAAAGTATCAAAGTCAAAGGTTTTGGGAAAAGCTGCAAATGTGTGCATTGGCAAATGAGGAAGATTCTTACCCTTCCTCCCAGATTCTTAGAGCAATCAATACAGTACAAACTCAAGTGGCTGGAGCTGACATTGACCTGGTACATGGTTTAGAAAGCCAGACAAGTCAGGCCCCCAAATAGTTTCAAGATAAATAATCAAGTGTATTCTGCATTATAGCTGGGTGGCACAATGGATAGAGCGCCAGGCCTGGAGTCGGAAGACTCACCTCCCTGAGTTCCAATGTTATTAGCTGTGTGACCCTGGGCAAGTCACTTCACTCTGTTTGCCTCAGTTTCCTCATCTGTAAAATGAGCTGGAGAAGGAAAAGGCAAACCACTCCAGGACCTTTGCCAAGAAAACCCCAAAAGGGATCACAAAGGGTCAGACATGACTGAAAATGACTGAACAACAGTAAAACACATGGCCCTTCTCCCACTCCTCCAATACTGCATAGACCTTTTGTCTGAAGTAGATGAAATCAAGGTTTGACAGCTAGCAATGACAAGCAATTCAGCAAGGCCCACAGCCTCCTGCTTTTTGACTGCAGAGACATGCCTAGGATGGGCTGGCGGGCCCTTGGTCCCAGGAAAGCCAAATTTAGAGGATACTGACAACACTATTCCAGTGTGAACTTGCTCCCCAGACATGGTCATGCTCTTCTGCAGCCAGGCCAGTCTCTTGCAGCTGCTGTGGCTGCCACCTGGTCCTAGGGCTTGAGTTTCCTGACCCTCCTCCCAGGCTCCCCCAGCACCATAGGACTACCCCATAGCATTGGCCAGCCCTTCAACACACAGGAATCTATGGTATCTTAAGGTTTCCAAAGGCCACAGCTCAAATGAAGTACCCCACTGTGCACACCTCTTATGCCATGCAAAAATTCCTAGTTACATCTCTGCCTTTGCTAATAAATCAATGCCATGGCAGACTTGCTAGTGCATGTCATAATGGGCTGTTTTCACATACAGTTCAGTGCTCAGGAAGAAAGGCCATTGCCCCCTTCCCTCTCCTTTCCTCCCAAAGCCATATTTACCTGTACAAAAACCGTGAAGAGGATCACCACCGTGGTTGCCGCAATGAAGAGCTTCTTCCGGGGGAAGTTCGGGAGGAGAAAAACGAGAGAGAAACAGATGGCCCCCCTCAGTCCCCCGTAGGCGATAATGAACTGGTCCTTTCTGGTGACTGTGTTCACATGACATTTATTCACAAAGAAGGTCAACACGAGGACACCTACATTTCCAAAGGGGAAGAAAGAAGAGGTGAGAAGTCAGTAGAGAGTCAATGGTCACAAATGGGAGGTGAGTATAAATAGAAATGACAGCATTGTAAGAGAACTGAATTCTGAATGACATGAAAACCAGTGTGGGTCCCAAGGAATGGACCTTTCTTCTTTCAGCAAAAAGGCAGGGGCCTATCAGACTGCAATGTTGCATGTATTGTCAGACAAGGTGACTGAATTTTTGCTTAGCTGCTTTTCTCTGCTACCAAGGAGTCTTCGATTCCAAGCAGAGGGGAGGATTGTATTTCAAGAAGTGATTGCAATGGGGCAGCTAGGTGGCACAGTAGATCAAGCACCAGCCCTGAAGTCAGGAAGACCTGAGTTCAAATCCAGCCTCAGACCAAACACTTGACACTTACTAGCTGTGTGACCCTGGGCTAGTCACTTAACCCCAATTGCCTAAAAAAAAAATTTTTTTTTAAAAGAAGTGATTGCAACAATGACTGTGATGCAAAAGTAAAAGGCATCAATAAAAACTTATTTTTTAATGGAGTGCAGAAAATTATTATTAAACTAAATGAGAATTCTAAGGATTGGTGATAAATAATTAAAAAGCTGAGACTAGTTAAATTCTTAAAGGCTTTGGTCATAAGCTCATGGAATTTTTTCAAGCTGGAAAGGACTCTGGATATCCTCCCATTTCAAAGCTAAGTAAACAGAGGCAGAGAGGTCAAGCGGTTGTCCCAGATCACATAGCACAGGCCCTATTCATTCTACCATACTCTGCTGCCTCTCCATCAGAGGGTTTTCTTTAAGTGGCTTCCCTCTTTTTTTTTTTCCGCTTTGCTCCAGATTTTGAAAGTGAAACTGGAATTATGGATGGTATTCCCTTGGGGCTTGAAATGGGTGTGCTGGGTAACTGCAAAATGAATCACAGAAACCAAGGAAAATATTTCCATCCATTCTCAGAAAATCTGATAACCCATGTCCAGATTCCTAGTTTGGAGGCAGCCACCTTTAAGAAACCTGGGATGCTACATGCTGAAGGTATTGAAAGAGAGTTCTAGGGTTCTGAGTGTAGGCCTGGAAGAAGGGAGCCCTGAAACCCCACTCCTGTTCAGCCCTGCCTAGAGACTCAGGAGCAAACTCTGTCCAGGATTGGCCTTGCAAGCTTCCAGGTCATGTGACCAACAAGATGGCAGAAAAGCCATTTTCTCTGATCCCCATAACTTCTCAAACTTCTCCAAAATAGGAATTATACAGCAAAGAGAAAGCAACTTCAGCTGTCTCCATGCCCGAGGATATCCAGAATCTAAAACATTAAAAAAAAAAACCATGAACTGACTCTGACTGACCCTGAGCTCGCTCAGCACCCCTCCCAAGCTACTGGCAACAAGGCTGAACTAGCAGAAACAAGGACACAAGCTCACATCATAATGTACCCCCATCCCTGGTCCCCCCTCCCTTCCAGTGCCATGGAGGCTCCAGCTCCAGGCTGTAGCATTTTGCCCAGGCTGTAGCAGACAACCGTCATGGCCACAGCCTTTCAGGAGCAAAAGCCTGCAGGGGGCCACGACTCAGTAGCACCAGTGCTATAAAGCTCTAAAGTGTCAGTGCTGGGGTGGTCAACCCTGAACACCAGCACTGTAAAGGTCCAAATTGTCAGTGCCAGGCCGAAGGACTAAGGAACGGAGGGAGTAGATCAGGACACCAGGACAGGAAACCACAATCAGAGGAGAGAGAGTCAGGAAGTGAGCAACAGGGGAGAGAAAAAAGACTGAAATTACCAAGGAAGAAGAAAATTCAAAGACCTTGAACAGAAGCAGATCATTCAACAGGAAAATCAGTAACAACAGAAGGAAACATGGCTTCCATAGCCAATAAATGAGTTCAAGCATCTACAAATAAATACTGCAAAACAAGGAAAATGATCCAACACTAGATGAGACAGGGGACCCTGTGGAAACCGAGGAGAACATGGAACTATAACATTATGTTCCTGAGTGGTTTAAAAGAGAAATAAGAATAATGACAGCAGAATTTATGGCCTACACAGCAAAAAACATTAGCAGAATAGAGAAACTGGAATTTCCAATGGTAAGCCTTACCGAAGAAACAAAAGAGAGCATAGACCGGGAATGCAAATACAAAGGAAAGGAAATTCAAATAACGCAAGATTATTCTGTACCAACTAGAAAGTGCAGGAGGGAATGGAATAATGTGTTCTGAAGAGCAATGCAGTTCAGGATGCAGCCCACAGTGACCCTGCAAATCTGAGTTTAACCATACATGAAAAAAGATGGACATTCAATAATAAAAACGTGTTCAAAACATTTTTATAAGAAAACTAGAACCGAGGATATTATTTGCTCCTGGAACACCCCAAACAATATACATGCAGGAGAGTACATAAATTCAGGAGACAACAACAGCAACAGTAACAGTGTGACAACAAAGACACTCGTAAGAGACGTTTTTCCTAAGAGACAGGGATGAAGGTAGAAATCTGGTAGAGATAGCAGCGAAAGTGGATGGGGGCATTATGGATAGAACTTGACAACACCTTGCCTATAGGTGAATCAAGGCTTTTTGTGGGACTACATTACAACATGGAAGGGTACATGAAAAGGGAGAGGGGAACAAGGGGATAGTGAGGAGTGTGCAATGTTCCAGGGTCAAATCAAGGGCTAACAATGAGGGGAAGGTTACCCCTGTGGCCTCAAAAAGAAAAGAGCCTACAGGAGAGTGGGTGATGAGGAGGGAAGATGCATCAAAAAGAGGAAAAGGAAGAAGAACTTACTTTGGTACTATGAGGGGGTTCTACTGATGAATGCTCCTGTAGGTGAAGAGCAATAGTCTGTGAAGGGAGATGGGGACCTTACACTGGGTGTAGCCTGGGGGATTTGGTGCTTGAAAAGTCTACTTCTTCTACACGGGGAAGGGAAGAGTTGGAACCATTGGGGGCAATTGGCACTTGGGGGATTGAGAAACTAAAGACCTAAGGAGTAAATTTTTAGGAAAATCTGGGAAAAAAAGAAAAAATACCCAAGGAAGGGTAGAGATCAATGGTGGGCTGAATAATCAAGGATGTGATAGAAAAGGGGCCCTACCACAGGTAAGCGTCCTCTCCAACACATACAACAATTGGCATTGTTCTGGGAGCAAGGCACGATGGAAAACAGAAATCCATGGCAGAAACTTCCCAGAAGTTTTGAGGAATACATGCATGAGGAATACAGAGAAAAGAGAGAGAGCAGATAATTACAGGAGTCATAAATCAGAAAATGAGAGTCTGGAGTAAACAGAAAAGGAGGATGGATAATGAAGAGAATGAGAGAAACCTTTTGTGGAAAAAGGTACAAAAAATGAAATTTTAAAAACTAATGAACAGGACTAGTTGAAGGGGAGAAGAGGAAGGGGGAATCTACTTGACTAACTGAGAGGAAAAAAGGCAGGGGTAAGAATTATATAAGCAGTTACTAAGCCTTTCAAAGTTGATTATCTTCACAATATCGCTGTTACTGTATAAATTATTCCCCTGATTCTGCTCACTTCACTTTGCATCAACTCATATAAATCTTCCCAGCTTTTTATGAAACCACCCTCTTCATCATTTTTTATAGTACCATAGTATTCCATCACATTCATATGTCATAACTATGAGCATCCTCACAGTTTCCAACTCTTTGCCACCACAAAAACAGACCTGCTATAAATATTTTTGTACATATGGGTCCTTTTTCCTTTTTCTTTGACCACTTTGGGGTTTAGACCTAGTAGCAATATTGCTGGGTCAAAAGGTATGCATAGTTTAATACCTTTTGGGGTATAGTTCCAAACTGCCTTCCAGAATGGTTGGAGTAGTTCACAATTCCACCAATAGTGCATTAGTGCACCTATTTTACCACATCCTCGCTAGCATTTGTCATTTTCCTTTTCTGTCATCTTAGCTAACCTGATAGATGTGAGATAGTTCCTCCACGTTGTTTTAATTTGAATTTCCCTGGTTTATCTGTCAGATTTATGGATAAGGGAAGAATTCAGGACCAAAGTAGATATAGAAAGCATTATAAAATATAAAATAATTTTGATAATATAAAATTAAAAAGTTTTTTGCCCAAACAAATACAATACAACCAAAATTATAAGGAAAGTAGAAAACTGGGGGAAATTTTTGTAACAAGTATCTCTGATAAAGGCCTCATTTCTCAGATATATAGAGAACTGAGTTAAATTTATGAAAATATAAGTCATTACCCAATTGATAAATGGTCAAAGCATATGAGATAAGGAGAAGAGCAGTTTTCAGACAAAGAAATCAAAGCTGTCTATAGTCATATAAAAAAATGCTCTAAATCATTAGTGATCAGAGAAATAAAAATTAAAACAGCTCTGAGATACCACCTCACACCTATCAGAGTAGCGAATATGACAAAAAAGGAAAAAAACGTTGGATGTTGGAGGGGATGTAGGAAAATTGGAACACTAACATATTGTTGGTGGAATTGTGAACTGATTGAACTGTTCTGGAGAGCAATCTGGAACTATATCCAAAGAGCTATAAAACTGTGCATACCCTTCGATCCAGCAATACCACTTCCAGGTCTATATCCCAAAGACATCCAAAAAAGGGTAAAGGACGTATTTGTACAAAAATATGTATAGCAGCTCTTTTTGTAGAGGCTAAGAATCAGAAATCAAAAAGGAGATGCCCATCAATTACAGAACGGCTAAACAAGCTGTGGTATGTGGTTGTAATGTAATATCATTGTGTTATAAGAAATGACAAGCAGAATGATTTCAGAAAAACCTGCAAAGATTTACATACATAGTGAACTGATACATAGTGAAGTGAACAGAAAGAGGAGAACATTGTACACGGTAACAGCAATATTGTTCGATGAAGAACCAAGAATGACTTAACTATTCTCAGCAACACAAGGATCCAAGAAAATCTCAAAGGACTAATGATGAATCTGCCTTCAGAGAAAGAACTGATATTGACTGAATA